CCCTGGGGCTCGGGTATTGCGGGTTCTCCGAATTACGTCAATCATCCGAGATCGATGTGACTTGGCAATCCTACATAGTCACAATGCCTGTATGCGCTGTCAAGAACCCGGTCAGATTCATTATATCCTTCGGACTTGAGCCAAACAGCTCTTCTCCTCCTTCTTGGTATAATTTACCAATGGAGGAGTTGAATGCAAAAAGTGCCCAAGTGTCCCACTAACTAGAAGATTTCCCGCCCCGTAGCAACTAATCGTGGATCCTCTTGGGCGATGTGACTCGCGATCTTGGTACTAAGCTAGGCGATATATCTGACTTGGTTTGATGCAGATCCTCCGTACCTCTGCAGGGGAGTGGAGAAATGAATCGGTACGAGCACTGGACGATGGAAGATGCTGTGGTAGGTCACTTGCTGCTGCAATTGGAAAAATAGCAAGGGTATTCACTGCCTGCCCTGTCTCTCGGTCTTCCTCTGCAACAGCGAGCCTCGGTTGCAGTAACCGATTCGAGACCAATTCTTACACACCCTTGATCTTACTGTGCGGATGCTGGTACATAATGGCGACACGAGTCGGTAAGCCTTTTACGTGGGTTAAATATCTTGGTGGCCCATGTGGGAGTCGAAGATTTTTTTTCTAGAGGATCTTCCCAGCCTAGGGTCAAGTTCAATGTGCGGTATCCCTTCATGATGCGTTTCACCATCAAGCTTGTTGTTGCTGCCACAGCATGGGCTGCTACCGCTACAAGCGCAGCCACTTTGTTGATTCAAAGTGACATCTCTGGCACATGTTCCGAAGATCTTGGACAACTCGGAAAGAAGCTGTCAAACTCAGCCAAGATCTACTGCCCCGGATCGCCCGAGTTCGAAAAGGCTTCTACTCGTTGGTCTGTTCTGGACGCTCCCAAAGTCAACATCGTTGTTGTACCTGGCACTGAGCAAGATGTTGCTACAACGGTATGCATTTATATGAATGCCTCCAGAATCATATCTAATGAATTTGCCTTTTAGGTCAAGTACGCCAATAAAAAGAGTCTGCCTTTCCTCGCCTTCAACACAGCTCATGGCGCCATTACAACGCTCGGACGAATGAACCATGGTATCGAGATTTACCTGAACCAATTGAACGCAGTTGAAGTCGCTGCAGATGGCAAGACTGCTACTATTGGTGGCGGCACGCAGTCTAAGAAGGTCACAGACACTCTTTGGGCAGCCAACAAGCAAACTGGTATGATCCAACGGCTTTTCTCTCATCTCAAGTTTAATTACGGTACTAACCATCAATAGTGACCGGAACCTGCGAGTGCGTTAGCTACATGGGTCCTGGCCTCGGAGGAGGACACGGTTGGCTCCAAGGCCATCACGGCATCGTTGCAGATCAGTGGGTCTCTGTGAATATCGTGCTGGCCGATGGCTCCTTCAAGACCGTCAACAAGGATTCTGATCTTTGGTGGGCCCTCAAGGGTGCCGGTCACAACTTTGGAATTGTGACTTCCGTCACGTCCAAGGTCTATGAGATCCAGCACCGTGACTGGGCCATCGAGACTCTTGTATTTAGCGGCGAACATGTCGAAAAACTTTACCGCGCTACCAACGAGCATCTGCTCCGCAAACAGCCTGAGGGCCTCATCAGCTGGAGTTACTGGGTGCACGACCCTACTGCTGACCCTGAGAACGTAAGTTTCACCAATGTTGGTTCTGTTCTCTTTGGATCTAACACCTTTAGCCAATTATTCTCTTCTGGCTGATCCAGGAAGGCGCCAAGACTATCGACCCCAAGATTTCCAAGCCCTTCCATGATCTCAAGCCCCTCGCCATCAGTCCCGACTCTGGCGACTACCGCGATCTGGCTAGGTGGACTCAAATTGACATTGATGCTCCAGCATGCCAGAAGAGTGGCCTTGTAAACCCTCGTTTCCCTCTGTATCTCAAGGAGTTCAACGTCGCCGCCATGAAGAAAGCATGGGATCTCTTTTCCGCCGAGACTGGTCCAAAGTCTCCCTTCAACACTTCCATCTTTATGTTCGAAGCCTACTCCACCCAGGGTGTCCGTGGTACTAAAGCGAAGGCCTCCGCCTTTGCCTTCCGTGATGAGAACGTCCTCACTGCTCCTTTGATTACTTACAAGCCGGGTGATACTGCGCTTGACGAGAAGGCTGCAAAGATTGGAAACAACCTGCGAGATATCCTTCACAAAGAAACTGGTCAGAGGGATATGGGTGTCTATATCAACTACGCTTATGGCAACGAGAAGCCTACTGATTGGTATGGAAGCGAGAAATGGAGACAGGAGCGTCTGTGGAGCTTGAAGAACAAGTATGATCCCAAGGGTAAGTTCAGCTTCTTTGGTCCAGTTGCTTGACCGAAGGTTAGAATTTAAATTTCGATAATGTCATATATTTTCAAGAATAAAGTTTATATTTTTGATGACTGTCAAATGCGACTTAACAAGAACGTGATATATATATTGTGTCCAATATACACCAGGGAGATTATATGCTCAGCTTTAGATCGTTCCTGGTGTCGTGTCATTTGACTGTACAGAAGTTAATGCAGGACGAATGGATTTTCGGTGGATTATCCTAGAGTATCATTGAAGATCTGACATGTCTGATACCAAAATTAAGGACCAGTCGAGACCTCTCGGAAATGCTCCACATCAACTGATTTTATCAGGGGTTTTCTGTAGGTAGCTTTCTATAGCCATAACCGTTGTATTTATGCTTCCGCAAGCGGAGTGCTGTGCGAGAGTAGGATAGAAGCAAATGAGCTCAACACACCATAACAATCGGACTCTAGCAGTTTGTCGCAAGCCGTCTGTCCTCATAGGGTGCGGCTACTGTGGCTGGAAATAAGGACTTAATAGGTACATATGCCATCTAAAAACCAAGTGAGAGCGACTGGTAAGACCCAGAAGACAGGCAAGGCTCTCAGAGTTGACATGCTCCTACAAATGGATTTTACCGAAATCGCATTGAGCCGCGCGCTTACCTTTGTATTTAAGGAGGTTGAAGACCTATTCTCATCATATTCAAATCCTTTCCAGCCTTTCCAGTCTCATCAGAATTTCGAGGACGGGAACTCCATCTGAATCTGTGACATTCATCAGATTAGAGTCACAACAAGGCTGGCGCCTAGCACGCAACAGACCCCTTGTTTGACCTTGGTGATACAACAATCGGCTGTCAGTCCTATTTCAGTACATACTGTCAGCAATCCTCCAAGCCATCGACAGGGTCTCTCAGAATGACATTGGTAGTTGGGGGCCGTTTTATGGTCTGTGTGTCACCAAAAGTGAACAAGCTGAAGCAACCCTTGTGTTTCTCTTGGGGGCCATTTTGATATCGAAAAATGTTGAAGCAGTCTTTCTATTTTTCCACCGGTATACCTGCCAGAGACGTTTAGATATTTCTGGTACCTCCTGAAGGCTGGAGTGTCAGCGTAGCATTGGTTCCAATTTTAACAATGGTGAGGCTCCAAGGCAACCGCCATATGGGCTATCACCCCTTTCTAATATGCTTAAGAGCTTATATATCAGCGTTGCCGCAGACCATGTCAGTTGGCTTCTCCTTCTGTCATACTCTGTCTCTTAGTAAAGCTTGGATTTCCTTAGCGCAGAGTCTCTAAGACAGCAAGTGACAAGCAGGAGATTTGAACTTCAAGATGGTAAAGTAGGTACCCTCAGAACCCCATTTACGATCATGCTCTTCCAAACCATCTCTGGGTTACTTTGCTAATATCAATGTGTATCAGCCCGCCACCCAAGAAGACTGGCAAAGCACGTCCAGTTGCTGGTCCCTATCGTCCCCCGGCCGGTCGTCCTGCTCAAAATCCCACCCAAAGACCTACCGGTTACCAACAAGTTGCCGCACCAAGACCGGTGGCCGGTCGTCCTGTCGTCGGCAGGCAGCCTATACCCAGTCAAGGAATGCAAATGGCACAAATGAAGCGACCGCAACAGCAAGCAAAATCCGGAGGTCCAAGGCCTGCCCATGCGACAAAGTCAGGACCGGCTAGAGGACATACTTCGAGACCTCAACACGTTCAGCACGTCCAACACATTCAACATGTCCATCATCAACCAGCCCAGCAAGCTGGACGCGCACCAGCACCACACCCGGCCCAAGGCTATGGCCATGCTCAAAAGAGCGGAAGCCCCTCAAACATGAAATATGTCGCTGGTGGTGTTGTTGGAGGAGCAGCTCTCGGTTTAGGGGCAACTACCATATATAACCAGATGAACAGCTCAACCAACGTTGTCAACCAGGAGCACAACAGTTATTCGTCTGGGAACAACAACTGGCAGTACGACAACTATGAGCAAGACAACTATTACGTCAATAACAGTAACTACTATGACCGCCATTCATCTGATGGCGATGGCAACTATGACGACAACTATGATGACAACTACGACCCGAATGCTAGGTATGAGAGTGAGGGAAATGACTATCAATACGATGACCAGCCCGGTGACTATACCCAAACACCAGCCCAAGACGCTTCGATGGGCAACAACGGAGGCGAAGAAGAGGACTGCTGCGGTGACTGTGGGTGTAATGACTGTTGCGAGTGTGGCAATTGTTGTGAGTGTGAAAACTGTTGTGAGTGTGAGAACTGCTGTAGCTGTTGCGGAAGCGATGAGAATGGAAATGGTGGGTGCCTGGTTATGTAGATTCATAGGATTATGATTGCGTTTCGTATTAGATAAGGTTTGGAGGTTGGCAATGATTTACATAATTTTTGTTCACGAAGAGAACCTTACCAGTCCCAGATATCAATTCTTCTGATATCCTATGGAGATGACATGCAGAATAACGCATAGAACACCATTGTGGAGGGTAACATGAACAAGACAATTTACTGGAAACAAAGGACTAGATATACTCTGTCTGAGCCAGTGTTGGCATGCAGTAGTAGTATAGGATTAGGTCAAAAAGAAAGCTGCGATTCTCGTGTGAACCCTGCTGTCGAAAGCCAAAAAGAAGTGGAAACATCAAAAAATGTCGGTGGAGAGGCTCGAACTCTCGACCTTTGGATTACCCTGGTGTTTAACCGGGTCATATCTCTATGAGACCAACGCTCTAACCAACTGAGCCACACCAACCTGGTTATTGCGATTCATATTCAATACATATACCCTGCCGCAGCGACAGATACTGTAATTCCTCTACTGCCTCTCGCAAGACGCATATCGAATTGAAGTGAACTACATGAAGCAGTGACAGTGATAAAACTCAATCGTCACGAAGTAAATCATTATTTAAATTAATGGTATGCTGTGTTACTATCATTTCCAAGACAGGGCATCATACACCCGATCTAGCCTCTGGCATCTTGCTTTCATATCGCACCTCACTAGATGTCCTAGACTCTGTTGTTCCAGTTTCTGTACGATTATACCTTGATGTATCCTCATACGCAACATTGATATTTGTTGTCCTCATGATCCCATTATATGTCATAATCTCCTCCTCCGATCCTGTCGGTGACACGCCTCGGATCTCAGTTCGTTGGTTTCTCGATCCTCGCAAGTCTTTGAGGTGTATGTTCTCATGGTTGTGTGATCGCAAGCCGTGTGTTCCTCGACTACCGTTTCCATATCGATCGGCATACGGTGTGGCAGAAGCTTCTCCGGTGCTTCCAAAGAGTGCAGGGAACCAGCGTCGGAATAGCGGTCGTAGAGCTGGGATGGATGCGGATATAATAGCGATATTCGTTTCGACTGCTCCCCATACAGGTAGGACGGTATAAAAAGTATCTTCGCCTGGGGAGGGCCCTTCGACAAGTTGGTGGTGGATGGAGATGACTCTGAGAATCCCAATGATACCAACACTGCACGTTATTAGTCCTGGGCGTTCAGAGAGATGGTAAATTACTTACGAAGTGCCCAAAACAAACACACTCATCACAGCAATCTTGGTTGCCCATCGCATGGTAAGACCCAAAACAATCCAATAGGGCAGAGCGATAACAAGGAAATCCGTCACGATAGTGATGCACGATGCGATGACATGGAACCAGTTGCTGACGCATTTGACCCCCGGCTCGTCACGAAGGGGGAAGTCCCAGTTTGCTTCAATCGGCCAGCATTGAAACAAGGCAGTGAAGAAAATGGCAACAGCGTGTAGAGCATTGAAGATATTGAGTGCGTAAATGGCATATCGTATACTTGTTTTGTGGCCGCCGAGTCGGAGGAGGAAGAAGAGGATTGATGCTTTGACGAGGGCTAGGACGGGGTTGTAGAACATCTGCACGAGGAAATTCCACCAAAAGCCAGCAGCGAGGTCGAGGTCTTTCGGTACATCGTAGGCTCTGAATCCCCAGTAATTGAGTTTCATGACTATTAACGACGAGGGTTAGCAAAGTCTATATGGATCGTTTCAGGCGTTTTTAACTTACACATATACAGAGGTCCAATCATAAGCAAAGCAAAAAACTAAGCATGTCAGCTGAGCGAACGATCCGGGAGGAGGTCCATACTCACAAGTGCTCCTAGAATGAGGTAGTCATCTATAAAAAGCAATAAGCATTTGAGATAAACGTATGCAAGCCGAGATTACTTACCGAGACCTATCGTCCGTGCGGTCACGCGACTATATATGCGCATCGCTACGATTATTATCGACAGACTGGGGAATATGAACAAGGCTGCAAGGCCTTTCTGCTGAAGCGGCGTCGTCGGTAGAGTCGTGGGATTAGGGAATGGCGGTGGCCCCGTTCGAGGGTAAAGACTGGAAAAATCCATTGTGAAACTGAGTTTAAAGTTGCTCAACGCTGAACGATAGTAGGTTTAGACGCTGTATCCCGTTGCTTTTACTAAAAGCCAAGCGCAGGTTCGATGTGACGCGCTGATCCAGAAGGACGTTGCGATCGTTATACTGATCAGCGGCCTTGGCAGCATGGGAAACGCCGTTGAAATGCACGACGAAAGCCGGGCAACAGGCTATCTAGATATAACAAGAGGGGTTTCTACAGGCTTATGTACATCGTTGGTAAACTGCCAGTCGCCAATATTCAGGGGGGGATCCAGCACACGCAGAATCTTCAAGAGAAACCTCATAGCACAATAGGGCTGTATGCTTAAACAGAGTTTGTGACGGATTCAGAGTTTGACTCAACATGGGTTTCATGGTCCGTGAGCAGAAAGCTGAACCACCATATCACTCTGTATCAAATGAGAGACATGCTGATGAGTTCCTGTTCCTGAGAGACGGCATACATGCGGGGCCGCGTACCAACCCTCGAGTGGAAAGTGATCTCATGTACTGTAAGCAAGATTACACTTTGTTGGTTCTAGAACCAAGGCCTGTCAGTTTCGAGTCCCTCGTCCAAGGCATCGGGGCTTCAGCTCTTTCCGTGCCACATATCCCGCGTTGAGCCGGACTGCAAGATTAGCTGGGGCCGATCGATGCACGACCATCCTGTAGGAATTGCGCATTTTCCGCGGAATAATCGATGCTAGGCTCAGCTGTGTTTCTGATGGTGCATGTTGGTTGTCAAAGAATCAATAGTGGAAACGGAATGACATTTGGTGGCTTTTGTGCCAACAGACGTTTCTACCTATGCTTCAGTTGGTGGCTGAAACATGTCAACAGCCTTGTCTATCAATATTTGTGCTGATCCTAATAAGAAACAGCGTATCAACAGATGTGTCAGACATTTCAATACTGATAGCACAGAGTACGGCCTGGAATTAAGTTTTCTTACTCTGGGGTTTCGGCGTGAAGTGGGATAGACAATATATGGACGGACATCTTCATCGGAGCGATAAGCATAAACAGATGCCTCGTTTAATCTAACTTTAAGCCACCATCCTCCACTTGTTCTCAAACGGTCAGGATCTGCATTTGAGGGCTTTTCATTAGGCTAAATTTCCTTGATAATCTTCAGCGCTGGACTACTATGTACCAACGGAACGCATTAATGGTGTACGTAACATGCAGCCTCCAGGAGATACGGCTGGACCCTACAATGCCTAACCGAGAAAACTTTGTTGGGCCTCCGGGGATCCAAGCCACTACCCCAGACCCCTGGACCCCTACCGGGATTGACAGCCAGTCGTAACCCTAAAGGCTGATCCATCGTCCGTCTCAGATAAACAGCCCGTCTGAAGATCTTGTCCATAACGAGATTTGTGCACATCTTCAGCAGAGAGGTTTCCAACTCTAAAAATGGTTCTGGTCAACAGTTTTTGAGAAATGGAGAAGATACCAACTGCGAGGCTTGAAGTGTTGAGATAAATGGTATAAGAGGAGCCCAAAAGGAACTGATAATCTCGTCTCTCGTACTCTCGGTACTTAATTGAGGCCACCTTGTCAGATAATTACCGAATAAGGTTTGCTGCTCGGTCTGGGATCATGAACTCTGTCGGCCTCTGACCCTGATGCTGAACAATTTGTCCGTCTCCGTGTGCTAGTCTAGTCGACTCCTGCTCCAATTGAATGAATTTGTGACCTGTCACGTAAACTTAAACAATCCCCGAAGAGCCCAACCCTGCTGCATGTTGGTTGTGGTGTATATATGGATGGAAGACAATTCGAAAGGCCAAGCTGATTAAATCGACCATCATTTCCACTATTGATCCACTCGGCTTGCGAGTGCCGTCCTCCCGTCTTGCAGCCGCATACTATGTACAATTATTAAGTAACGATGTCGGGGGTTTTGCATCCGATATCTGCACAATGCCCACCCTTCCCCCATCCTAGAGACAAGACTTCACCTTGTCTTTCTCTTCTCCACTCGGGTCAGCACCAACCAACAGCCAGCAGCAGGGTTGGTAATCAGCCCATAATCCTAAAGTCTGGATAAGTGCTACCTAATACGTACCAACCACCGGTTCGCTGTACCAACAGATACAACGCCAGCGGGAGGATTCTAATAGTTCAAAAACTAGTGTTAGATACATAGTATATAGTCAGCATAGTAAGACATGTGGCTTAAGTCGATCTCCCCCCTTTCTTCTCCATCCCCATTACTCTGCACTCCCGTTCCATTCTTGATGCAGTGTCATCTCTTGTCTCGTCCCTGCAGCCTGTAAACCTTCTTTGATACGAGAATGCAAGGCTCTCGCCTTTCGTGGCTGCTTGCCGCCCTTGTCCCCTTCGCCCTTGGCCAGACGATTGACGTCGACGGCGAGGCCGTTCGTAAGTGACATCACCTGCTGATCCTCTCTTCCCTATTTTCACTTCAATAAACCATCGCTAATCTGAAACGTGTGACAGCCGCTGACGAGAGCAATGTTGCCCCTGCATGGGCGAGTCCATTGACTGCAGCTTCCAAGAACTCCAACGGCCCTCAATTGACTGACGCTGTGCTCGCCAACCTCACCGATCTGAACTTGAGTGACATTGAACTCTTCTACTTTGCCGACACCAAGACTTCCAGCAAACGGCACGCTGTTTCTGACTCAAAGTGCAAAGTCTTCCCTGGCGACAAGAAATTCCCCACCAAGATCATCTGGAAGGTCCTCGACCTTCTTACTGGAGGCGCACTCATCAGCACTGTTCCTCTCGGTTCAGCTTGCTACAAGGGAGAGCACTATGATGCGGCAAAATGTGAATTTCTTAAAGAAAATTGGCATAACTCTACGACTCAGTGAGTTTAAGTCTTGTTGTGCGCCACCTTGATGCATTATTGACTGACGTGTTTAAGTATCGATGATCCCACCTCGGTCATGTCGCCCCTCTTTGAGGGTGCCACCTGTGAGCCCAGTAATGCCGAATCTGGCTCCAAGTGCACCATCGGTGGCTTCCCTTTGTACGCTGTCAAGGCCACCAATGTTGCTCAGATCCAGCTCGCCGTCAATTTTGCCCGCAGCCTGAATCTTCGACTTGTCGTGCACAATACTGGCCACGACTTCCTTGGTAAGAGTACTGGTGCTGGTGCTCTTAGCATCTGGACCCATAACCTGAAGGACATCAAGTTCACAAAGAACTATCGTGGTGCCAGTAGCTATACTGGTCCTGCGTTCAAGATCGGCGCCGGTATCCAGGTCAAGGACTTGTACGAGGCTGCTGACCGTGAAGGCTACACTGCTGTTGGTGGAGAATGTCGCGTAAGTCCCGCTCAAACATATTTTGGTTACGTTTACTGACAGTATATCAG